ATTTTTATTCGAAATGATTCGGTGCCATTTTGGAAAGGGAGGAAAGAGGAGGGTGTAGGCCGGAAGGGGGCACTTTTTGGGACACTTTTTTCCTTAATGAAATTCTTTACGAATGATGGACTGTTGCGAGACGTTTTTTTTGTCAATGGGAAAAAAAAAGAATTCTTGGCATTCGTTTACGAATTTTTTTTTTTGTTGTTATTTTGGTTGTTTTTTCACGGGAATGATTCTCTAGGTAATCATTCGACTGTCAGGTACACACCGGGTGCCGATATGAGAACCATCGAAAAAGAAGAAACAACAAAAAAGGAAAAAGAGGAAGAAAGGAAGGAAGGCAAAGTCGGAAAAATCTTTTTTTTTTATTCGATTAAAAAGTTTTTGTTTGTTTGTTTTACTTTGTTTTATTATCATTATTATCATCATCATTATTATTATCATTATTATTATTGTTCCATTTTGAAATTGTTAGGCGTAAGTAATGAGTTTTGGTTTTTTTTTTTTTTTTTTTTTTGCGTTTTCGAATCGATCGCATGTTAAAGACTCGTAAATTTTTCAAGAGTCGGATTACGGACTCTGTGTGATTAGAGTGCCGGACGTTAAAATAAAAGGCTATCGCCGCTGCTGCCACGTCGCCACCACCACCACCGCCACCGCCCCCGCCGCTTTCATAACCATCATCATCATTATTACCACCATCGTGTCGTCGCCACCACAACCACCACCATTTAATAAAAGAGACATTTTTGTTTCTCACTCGATTTCCTAGAGAATTGAAAATTTTTTTTTTTTTTTTTTGCTTTCGATCCATCGTCGGCGCCGCCGCCACCGCCACCACCGCCGTCGTCGATCCTCTTCGGCGAAAACGGCGATTTTCTTTTTTCCTTTTCTTTTTCTTTTCGCGATTCATCGATAGAATCTTTTGTACAAATATTTTTTGCTTCTTTTCCAAAACTCGAAAAAAAAAAAAATCGACGGAAGTAACAAGGACGGTTGGTTATTGGGGGGAGAGGGGGGCGTGGCGGTTGGGAACGACTATTCAGACTATGTAAATATTTAAAGGAGACGAACGTGTTAACTCATTGAAAATGAAAGTAATTCATTAATTACAACAACAACAACAAAAAAAAAATTGTTTGTAATTTAATTCATACTAATAATAATAATAATAGGTTCGCTCGTAAAAGAATGAAAACAAAAGAAAAATTGTCATTATTATTATCATTATTATTATTATTACTAATAACGTCGCGGTTTAGGCATCTCCGTTCATTCATTGATATTACTCATCATCATCATCGTTGTCACTATTAACTAGTAATTATTTAATTGGTCGGGTGTTAAATCATCGATAAAAGATAAAAAAGAGGATTTGGCGTTCGATCATCATTATTATCATTATCATTATCATTATTATTATCGAAGTAGGAAAGGAAGAAGAAGAGGAAGGAATTGCGGGTTTGAAAAAATAATCCAAGGTTTTGCGGGTTCGGTTTACGTTTCGTCAGTCGACGTTCGTCACATGTTTGTTCTATTAGTAGTAGTAGTAGGACGAAATGAGGTTAGGTTCGAACAGGTGTGAACGTGACGATGATGAGGAGTCACAAGTAAGCGATCCGAATCCGAAAGTAGGGGGAGGAAGGTAGCGGAGGGGTAATAGGGTAAGGTGTAAAAGAATAGGGAAAATAAAACGAATCCGTCGTTCGTCGTGAATCATTTTGTCGAATTCGAGAACGTTTAGACAAGGGAAAAAGAAAGCCAATGAACAAACAAACAAACAAACAAACAAGCAAACAAACGAACGAAAAAAAAGTTTGCCAAAGTTCATGGAAAAATATTCACATATTTAATGAATTTTTTTCTTTTTTTTTTTTTAAAAACAATTTTTAATGTTTAGCTTATGGATAGAGCGCTCGTCGTTCATTTTCCATGTTTTAAATCCACGAGCTCGTTTGTTCGTTTGTTCGTTTGTTGTTTGTTGTTTTTTAAATTTCCGATTTGCAAAATTTTAAAAGAAACCTCGAAAGGAAATGGAAGACTTTGGAATAATAATAATGATAATCATTATTATCTTCTTTTTTTTTTTTTTTGTTTCGTTTAAAAACCCAAAACACAATTCAAACGTTTTGCACCTGGCGTTTTTTTTTTTTTTCTCTGAGCACATGTGTCGTGCCTGATTATTATTATTATCATCATCATCATTATTATTATTACTACTACTTTTTTTCATCTGCATCTGCCTTCGATTATTTCCCTTCCCTCCACCTTTTTTACCTCGCCCTTGATCCCGAATTCGTCAATCGTCATTCTCGCATTCGATTAACAACACGAGAAAAGTTTAAACATCCCAACGGTTTTGTTTTAAATGGAAAAATCGAAGTGGAAGAAGACAGACTTCGGTTGCCTGATGGGTGTGTGTGTGGGGGGGAGGGAAAATCACGTTTAAAATTAAAACAAATACAAAGTCCAAATCGTAAAACATGCAATAAAAAAAAAAAATGTTGATGACTTCATTTTTGATAGAACAACCTGTTTTTACAAAAAAAAGAAAATGAGTCAAACAGGTACTCAATGTGATATGTCGTCGTGTCATTAGAATAATTTCGAATAATCGAATAATTTCTGTCGGATTAATTTTTTTTTTTTATGTCGGAAAAATTTTTTTCATATCGAGGTTGGTTTTGTAATTAATTAGTCGTGTCGTCCGTCACCTTTTTGGCGAATCGGGTGTATTCAATTTCCGGTTTCCGCTTTCCCCCCTCCCCCCGCCGCCGTCGGAGAAATTCGATTCGTTTCTTTTAATTTTTTTTTTTTCTAGATTTTTCCATGGCGTGAATCGTTTTGAATAAATAGATATATAATGCGTCCTTGTTTCGTTTGTCGTAACGTAAGAATAAATTGATTGAAAGGATTTCGTTCACGTTTCTCTCTCTCTCTCTCTCTTTCTCTCTCACGGACAGCAGAAGACAAATACGTGATTATTTTATCAATGACGATAAAACGGTTCTAGCCGATTTGTTATGATTTATTATTATTATCGTTACTATCATTATTATTATTATTATTGTTATTTTTTTTCTTTCGTTCTTCGTTTTTTGACTTCTGGGTGAGGTTGATGCTGATGAAAAGTTTTACCTGACCTCCTCGTATTTTTAAACATAATAATAATAATAATAATAGTAATAACGTTTCAAAAAGTGAAAATAATAATGATAATAATAATAATAAAGGGGATTGTATTTGTTTAGGAAAAAAAAAACAAAAAAAAACTTTCATGCGGGTAAATGTGTTAAATTAAAATTTGATTATTATTTTTATCCCCTTTTTATTATTATTATTATTATTATTATTATTATTATCATTATTAGTATTATTAGTATTATTATTATTATTATTGTTGTTGTTGTCGTTGTTGTCTTTGAAGTTGTCCTTAGTCTTGGTGGTTGTTGTTGTCGTTATTTCTAATTCTAATGCTTGCTATAGTCGTTTCTGGGTTTGTTGTTGATGTTGTTGTCGTATTATTGGTTGTTGCGGTTGTAAAGATTGTTGCTGTTGTGGTTGCAATGGTTGTTGTTTTTGTTACTGTTGTTGCATCGGTTTTCGTTTGTGGTCGTTGTAGTCTTAGTGATTGTTGTTATCGTTGTAATTCTAATGGTTTTCGTAGTGATTCTGGTTTTGTTGCTGATGTTACTGTTGTATCATTGTTTGTATGGCTGTAACGGTTGTTGTTTTCCTTGCTGTAGTTGCATCGGTTTTCTCTCTCTTTGTAGTCTTATTGATTGTTGTTGTCATTGCAATTCTAGAGGTTGTCGTAGTTGTTTCTAATTTTGTTGGAATTCCCATAGTTGTTGTAGTAGTTTTTGAGTTTGTTGTTGATTTTGTTGTTGTATCATTTGTTTCTATGGTTGTAATGGTTGTTACTGTTTTTGTTGCTGTTGCGGTTGTAATGGTTGTTACTGTTTTTGTTGCTGTAGTTCCATCTAATAGCGCGGTTTTCGTTCGTTGTCGTTTAGTCTTAGTGATTATTGTCGTCGCTGTAATTCTAGAGTTTGTTGTTGTTGTTGTCATAGTCTTTTTTGTATGTTTGTTATTGATGTTGTTGTCGTAGTTGTGGATGCGGTTGTTATTGTTGTCGTCGTCATCTTCGGTATTAAGCGCGTTTTATCAATATACATTTTTTTTTGTTTCTTCTACGTCTGAGGTCAGTAGACAAAAAATAGCAAAAGGAAAAATTAATCGCTGTGTAATGTAATATATTGAAAAAAAGTTTTGAAACAGAATTTCAAAGGCGTAAAGTTTTAAAACAAATGTAAGGATAAATGTCGTAGAAAAGTTAAACGAGTTCGTTTTTTTTTTTTTATTGAAAAATTTCTCTTGGACATCACACACACACACACAATTAGACGACGACAAGCCCACATTCTTTTTTTTTCTTTTTTTTTCCATGACTTTCGACGACGATTTCCATAACAAAAAAAAAAAAAAAAAAAAAACATTTTTTCCATCATCATCATCATCATCATCATCTTCTTGTTCTTCTCCGGACGATAAAATTTTGTTTTAAAAAGTAACGTAACGTAACGTCACAACCGGAAATCGATTCGTTATTTTACGACGTTTAAAAATTATTATTATTATTATTATTAATTTGTTTTTTAACGAGAGTAAAATGTTGGAGACACAAAAAAAAATTAATTCGTATTAATAATTTGTTTTTGACGTCATTTCCGGTCTTTCGAATATTTTTTTTTTTTTTTTTTGGTCAGCCTTGTTGTTGTACGTCTCGTGACTTAATTGTCGAAAAAGAAAAGGAGGAGGAGTAGGAGGAGGAAGAGGAGGGAAATAAAACAAACGAAAACAAACAAAGGAAAAAAAAAATTTTTTTTTTTTGTTTTGTTTTGTCTGTCGATCGTGATTGAGGAGGGATTTTTTTTTTTTTTTTGTTTTAATTTCTAGTACGTATAACAAACAACAAACAAAATTGTTTGTTTGTTCGTTTGTTTATGTTTCCGTATGGAAAATATTTTTATAAATACACAAACATTAAAAAGCAAACACGAAAAAAAAAAAAAAAAAAATTTTTTTTAATAACATCGGCGTGTGGTCGGCCATATCGTGACGTTACATTCATTCGTGTTTTCGAATTATCGTTCCAGTTGGAATTTTCCAGAACTTTCTACGTCATCGATGAAAAATTAATAATTTTTATTAATTTGTTGATATTTTCTATAGGGAATTGCGACGACTCGACCGTCGGACCGATATTGATCAAGGAACCCCCGAATCGAGTTGATTTTTCAAACACGACCGGTGCCGAAGTCGAATGTTCCGCAAGAGGAAATCCAACACCTGAAATCATATGGGTACGATCCGATGGTACGGCTGTGGGTGACGTACCAGGATTGAGACAGGTAGTACGACCAATCATCATCATCATCATCATCATCACGGTTGATGCGAGAGAGTAGTAATTAACGGTCATATGGATTTTTGTTTTTTTTTTTTGTTTTTGGCACTTACATCAGGTACTACCGAACGGAAATCTCGTTTTCCCACCGTTTCGCGCCGAGGATTACAGACAGGAAGTACACGCTCAGGTTTACGTTTGTCTGGCGAAAAATTCAGTCGGATCCATTCATTCGAGGGATGTCAACGTGAGAGCAGGTAAAGAGTCGATTAAAAATTTTTTCGAAATCTGGATCGGATACACAGGCGAAGGAGATAAAAATGCCGACCTTTGACCCCTTTATCTGCTTCTGCTTCTTCTACATTAAACAAGGGACTCTTGTGCGTTCGCGAACGATTTTATCAAGGTCAAGGTGAACTTAGAAACTCTTTCATTCATCCCGTCGGCATTTTTATCTCCTCCCACAAAAAATTTGCCGCCCATTTGATTTGATTTGACGCAAGTTTCGCGGTTTTTTTTTTTTTAAAAAAAATTGACACTCGTTCGATACTCGATTTGATAACGATTCGATACTCGAAAACTCATTTATCTTGCGTCAAATCGAGTCGGGGGAGAGCACACCGCGAGGAACCTGAACATTTCCTCCCCTTCCCCCCTTGATCTTGTGTGTTTTTTTTATTTTTTATTTTGTGCTTTTCCGGAAGTCGTTCGTCGGTTCGCGTGCACCCGCGACCGCAAAAAAAAGAAAAGAAAAGAAAATAGAAAAAAAATGTGGATTCGTGTTAACGAACGATAAGGAAAAAGCAAACAAAATCCGCCATTTTGACAAAAAAAAAAAAATAAAAAAATTGTTTCGTTGTTTCTATCTTTTGCTCTTATAAGAAACGGTCGAAGTTTATACACGAATTATTATTATTATTATTATTTTAATAATCATCATCATTATTATTATTATTATTATCGTCATTGATAATGATATTAATTTCACGTAATTAGAATTTTTTTCTAATTATTTTAGGTGATGTCGAATCCCCAGTCGATCCATTCAGCCGTTTGCCTTTTTTCCGATCCTTCCTCGAAGATCCTTCGTTGATTTGATCCCGAAACATTTTTCCGACACTATTATCCAGGAAAATTTTATATTTTATCCAGGAAAAGAAAACAAACAAAAAAGGACAAAGGTATACATGTAAAAGTAAATATCCGAATTTAAATTATTATTATTATTATTTTTTTTTTTTTTTCGGTGAAAAATGATACCCGTGTAACGAACGATTCTGATAAATTGCTGTTGTTGTTTGTTTGTTGTTCGGTTGTCGTTTGTTGAAAGTTTTATGTCATCGTTCCGAACATAAATTTTTTTTTTTTTTTTTTTTTTTAAATAAAAAACTCGTATATATATATTTAATTTTTTTCCGAAATATTTTAAAAATAATAATAATAATAATAATGACGATGACGACGATAACAACAACAACAACAATAATTTTTTAAAGAAGAATTCGTGCCCCTTTTTTTAATTTTTTTTTTATATATTCGGTTGTTTTGTTTGTTTATTTTGTCTTCATACCTTTCTTGTCATCATCATTATCATTATCATTATCATCGTCGTTAATGTTTGTAGTTGTTTGTATATTTAAAAAAAAAAAAAAAAAAACAAAACACTAATCCGCCCTATTGTTATTATCATCATTTATAAAATAAACTTTGCCGACGTTAGAAAACAACAAAATGTGACGCGCGACAAACAGGTACGCTAGTTTTTACAAAATAATAATAATAATAATAGTAATGATAAGAGCAATGTATGAGAAACGAACGACTCGGGAAAACTGCGAAATTTTCCAGCGATATTGTTTTTCCAGTTTTCGCGAAAAGTAAACGCGCATGCGTGCGTGCGTGCGTGAGTTTGGAAAATTATTAAATCTTACTGGAAAAATATGTGATTCGTTAGCTGGAAAATTTTTTTGCCGTTGAGGAAAATGTTCAGGTTCCAAAACTCAAAACTCGAAAGTTTTCCTAATATTTCCGTTTTGTTTGCGTTTGTTTGCGTTTGTTTTCTTCGTTTGTCCGTTTGTCATAATCGTTTTGAATTGATTTGTCAGTTGTGTCGCAATACTACGACATCGATGTTAACAAGGAATACGTCATCAGGGGTAATTCTGCCATATTAAAATGTCAAATACCTTCGTTCGTCGCTGATTTCTTGACGGTTATCTCATGGCATTCGGATGGTGGGGATGATATACATCCGACTAGTAATTACGGTACAAAACATTTGTCTTTTACCGAAAGAAAACTCTGGGAAAATTATGTTTGTTTGTTTGTTTGTTTCAAGTTAAATTTTTTTTAGTTAGCTTTTCCGTTCCTGCTGCTGTTGACGCTGCTCCTGGCGCTGCTACTGCTGGAGGTTGAGAAGGAAGAGAACAGAGCGTCGTTTGTTGTTTTTCTTTACGATTTTTATTTTATTTTGTTTCTTTTTTTTTTTGTTTGTTTTTGTTTCGAACCGGAAAAGTCGTGAAACAATTTTACGAATCCGAAGTGAACAACGAATACGTCATACGTGGAAATTCGGCCGTTTTAAAATGCAGCATTCCGTCTTTCGTGGCGGATTTCGTGACCGTCGTCTCTTGGCAAGACGATACCGGAAATGCGTATTCGTCGAAAGATACCTACGGTAAATCGCCATTCGTTTTCACCGATGATGCAACAAATCGGTAGACTAATTAAAAAAAAAAAAATTTTGTTGTCTGTTGTTGTTTGTTTTCAGTTTTCAGTTGTCGAAAGCGAACGCACGTTCTCACGAACGTAATAATAATAAAACAAACAAAAAAAAAAAACTTTTGAAACTCAAAAAATAGTTTCGTCATTCTCATTAAAGGGAGAAAATCAAAACAAACAAACAAACAAGCAAACAAACAAATGAAAAATTACGAAATTTTAAATGCGTTTGTATAGAAAAAAAAAAAAAAATTTCGCAACCAGAAAAAATATGTTCTCACCGTAAATTTTTGTTATTTTTTTTTTTTTTTTTGACGTGGCAGAAGAAAAAACTGTTACAATAAGTAATTGTAAAGCGCGTTGTTGTTGTTGTTGTTGTCGTTGTCTAGATCGAGATAAATAATAATCGGAATAATAATTAGTTTTATTATTATTATTATTATTATTAATACACTTAAAGACGTTTTAAAAAAAAAATTCACGTCTGGTTGTTTTGATTGTTTTGGTTGTTGTTGTTGTTTGTTTGTTATGATCATCGATATTTAAAATTTTATTATTGTTTAAAAGCCGGAAATAAAAAAAAAGAAACGTTTCAAAAGTTTTTTTTTTTAAATGATGGATTTTATTATTATTATTAATATTGGTTTTCAGATTGTTTTGATGGAAGATTTTGGAAAAGACAAACAAACGACAATCTCTTGTTGTTGTTGTTGTTTAAAAAAAAAAAAAAAAATTTAAATTTCAGTTGTGAATCAATATTACGAAGCGGAAGTTGTTTCTGAATACGTTATCAGAGGCAACACGGCCGTTTTAAAATGTAACATACCATCTTTCGTTGCGGATTTTGTTAGAGTCGAAGCTTGGGTGGGAAGCGACTCGAACGTCTACCTTCCCAAACCAGACTACGGTACGTCACGCAAGACAAAAACAAACAAACAAACAAAAAGTTAAATTTTTTTTTTGTGTTTAGTACCCGTAATATTTTCAACAGGGAAAAAGAATAAGAAGAAGAAGAAGGAGAAAGAATGTCAGCGTCAGTGTTGGGGGGGCGTGTCACGTTAGAACGTAGTCGTCTCGTTCTTCCCTCTCTCTCTCTCTCTCTTGCTCTCTCTTTCCCCCCCCCCCTTCTTTTGTTTTGCTTCCGTGTTCATTGAACTTGACAGAGCTTTGTTTATATTATTTTGGGCGGCGAAAAAATTCTCTTTCTCTCTCTCTCTATCTTTTGGACAAAGAAGTGCAGAAATGTATTCCTTGCATTACAGTTGTCAATCAGTTTTACAAAGCGGAAATACTTACGGAATACGTTATTAGGGGTAACACGGCCGTTTTGAAATGCAGCATACCGTCGTTCGTCGCGGATTACGTCGCGGTCGAAGCATGGATAGACGAAAACGGTCACGAACTCGTTGTCACCGCCGACGACGATGACAATTACGGTAATTATGTGTAAGATTTTGTACCGGAAATTGATGACGATTGTTTGTTTTATTTATTTACAGTTGAGATGGTCAGTTGCTGACGCGTCTCTGACTAGTTTTCCTTTCCCCGTCTCCCCCCTCCTTTTCTTTCCTTGGCAGAAAAAAAATCGGTGGTGACGTTATACTGGTGACGTATTCCTCGTTTTTTTTTTTTAAGCGATTGTGAAATTTGGAAAAGAAAACAAACAAACAAACGAACAAACGACCTCTTTGTTTTTTTTTTTTTTTTGGTATACATCGTTCGTGTTTTGCAGTTGTCAATCAATTTTACACGGCGGAAATACTTAAAGAATATGTTATAAGGGGCAATACTGCCATATTGAAATGTAACATACCTTCTTTCGTTGCTGATTACGTGACCGTCGAGGGTTGGCTCGTCGGCGACGATTTGGAAATCTCGCACATGAAAGATGACTACGGTAATCACGCAAAAGAAAAATTTACTCGCGATAGAAACGTTAAAAAAAATTTGTTTGTTTTCAGGCGAGACGTGGCAAGGCAAATGCGTGACGGGAAACTTTCTTGTCCAGGAAAGTTTCCCGTCTTTTTTTTTTGTAATCCCCTTCTCTGCTCCCCTACCCCCCTCACCTCACCGCCTCGATTCGAACTTACTAATTTTGTAAAAAAAAAAAAAAAAAATATTTTCGATAGTTGTCACGCAGTTCTACGTCACCGAAGCCGAAAACGAATACGTCATACACGGTAATTCGGCCGTTATGAAATGCAAAATCCCCAGTTTCGTCGCTGATTTTGTCAGCGTCATTGCATGGGTATCGGATGACGGAGAGACATACATTCACTCCTCAGACGTTAACAACTATGGTAAATGAAAAATTGGAAAATTTTTCCTCCAAATGTTAACGGAAATTGTTTTGCAGATGTCGTTTCCGTCCCCGCCCCCGCCCCGTCGTAGAATATTGGGTTTTCCCAACAGACAGCGAGACGATGATGACGGTAGTCGTGGTAGTAGCGAAATTAAAAGAATTGTTTGTTTTGATTTTTTTTTAAAAGTTGTCACGCAACCCTACGAAGCGGAAGCGGATAACGAATACGTCATAAGAGGAAATACAGCGATAATGAAATGCGAAGTCCCGAGTTTCGTAGCCGATTTCGTAACCGTCGAAATGTGGATGGACACAGACGGAAACACATATTACCAAAATTCCGATTATGGTAATAACACATCATAATCATCATCAGTCATTATTATGACTTGCGAATAATGTCGATTCTGTTACAGCAAAAGTTTTAAGTTGGCAGCATTTTTTTTTTTTCGTCTCTTTCTTTCTCTCTCTCTCTCTCTCTGTCACTCTGTCACACTCTTCATCCTTATTGTTTGCGTTTAATGTGTCGTGATGATGATTTTTAGTGGTTCAACAGTTCTACCAGAGCCGCGTTTCCGACGAATTCGTTCTTCGCGGGAACACGGCCATATTGAAATGTCAGGTTCCGAGTTTCGTGTCGGATTTTATTGACGTCATCGGTTGGGTTTCTGACGAGGGAGATACTTATTTAAAAGACGACGCCTTTGAACAAAAGGGTAGGGTGGATTTTAAATGTTTAAGTCCGTACCTTAAACCACGCACACGCATCCCTTACCGAAATATCCGAAACCTTGCATCCCCTCATCCCCTCCCCTAGAGACCCATCAAAGCTCTGTTAAGTTGTAAATGAATCGTATTCGAACGGTTATTTTTTTTTGTCATCTTCTGCTTTTATAACTCATAGTCGAGACCGTCAGCAAAGTGTGGAAGAAGTCAAATAATGAATGAGTGACGATAACGTGACGCGTCACCTAAATTAAATTTTTTGTTTTTGTTTACAGGTGAAAGAATAAAAGGAAAGTTTTTCATCTCGTGCCACGAATTTTAATTTTTTTTTTTTTTAATAAATTAATCGACGAGAGGAGAGGTTGAGAGGTTAAAACAATGATTATCAGTATCATTATTATTATTATGATTATTTTTTTTTTATTTTCCGATGGTTACAGTTGTCACGCAGAGATACGAAGTTAACGTTATGGACGAATACGTACTCCGAGGCAATTCGGCCATATTAAAATGTCACATACCAAGTTTCGTGGCCGATTATGTTTACGTATCGGGTTGGGTCGCGGATGATAACACGGTGATAACACCCTTATCACCCTCGGGTACCCTCGGTGATTCATATGGTACGAGGGAATCATTGTTTTAATTCCTCAAAAATCTCTTCCGTTTATCATTATTATTATATCGTTTGTCTAAAAAAAAAACGAAAAAAAAAAAAAAAATTTGGCGCGAAAAAACGAAAAATTTAAATCTCCGTCGGACGTGGCATTAATTTCAATACGAGTGTTTATACACACACGTCATCCGTTTATAATTTTCTATTATTATCATTTTTTTTATTTTTTTTTTAAAACCGGAAGTAGTTGAAAATCTTCCAATTTTTTTTCGTTTTTTTTTATTAAAATTGATTAATTAACGACGATTTTTTTAAGCAATTGAAAATATTAAAAAAAAAAAAAAAAAGAAAATCGTGGATGGAAAAATTTGTTCCAGATGTTAAAAACGTGGTCGCAAAAATAAACAAAGCAAATCGAACTAATAATAATAATAATAATAAATTTGTCGATACGTCAAATGTATTAGTAGTAATAATGATGATGATAATAGTAATAAATAAAACCGTCGGGAAATTCAATCAAATACCGTTAAAATAATCGTGACGAATTTGTATCTTGATTTTTTCATTTTTTTATTCTTCTTCTTCCACGAAATTTATGGAAAACGAAAGGAGAAGAAGAAGAAGAAGAAGAAGAAGAAGAAGAAAACGACGGATTGTTGTTATTTATTATTATTATTATTATTGTTTGTCGTTTCAGGTGGAAATTTTTTTTTTTTTTTAAATTTTTATTTTCGATTGCTTAAAAAATTATCATTAATATTATTATTAGTATTATTAGTATTATTATTATTATTGAATTTTATTTGTTTGACAAAGGAAAGAAAGAAAGAAAAAAAAGCGCGCGAAAAAAATTTCAAAAAAAACGCGAAAAATGTCACGGATGAATTTTTTTTTTTTTTTTTTTTTTTTACGACGTCACGCTATGGAATTGAAAAAGTGCGTGACGATTTTTTTTTTGTGTGTGCGTGTTGACGCGCTATAATTTTTATAGCAGAAGAAAAAAAAGGACCGTGACATTTATTATTATTATTATTATTATTATTTTGAAATTTTTTTTCCGTTGCGTTAACAAAAAAAAAAACAAAAAAATTTTTTTTTTGTTTCCTTTCGTTTGTTTTTGTTTGTTTCTCTCTCTTACTCTCTTACTCTTTCTCTCTCTCTCTCTCTCTCTCTCTCTCTCTCTCTCTCTCATTTTTTCTTTTTCTCTTTTGGTCTAAGTCAAGCGAAAGGAAAAGGAAAAAAAAAAAAATTTCGACTGCTTGCACGGCTCTATTTTATTTTTAACAAAAAAAATTTTTATAGTCTATTAAACGGCCATAAATTATTATTATTATTATTATTATTATTATTTTAATTATTGCATCCGCCATTATTATTATTATCATCATCATTATTATTAATATTTTAATGGATCGTCATTAATCTAATAAATAATAATGGAATGGAATCGAATCGGATTTTGTGTGGATTCGCGTGTGCCTTCGGTTAAATTCCGCACACACGCACACACACACCCCCCCCCCTTCCCGCCATTTTGTTCGTTCCATCCAGTTATGGACATGAATCGTTTCCACGCGAGGCTTAGCGTGGGTTTAGAACGATGGCCCCCACCACCACCACCGCCGGCGGCGGCGGCGGCGTAACCACCATCCATATTTGTTTTTTTAACGAAGAGTGATTTCGGTCAGTTTTTATAAATGGTCGTGGTCTTAGAATTGTTACATTGAACTTTTTTCTTTCTCGTGGAAACGACCTTGAAAGCTTTCTAAACTAAAATCATTATTATTATTATTATTTTTCCGTTAAGTTGAAAAAAATGGCCGTGCAAGTACGAGAGATTTTCTTTCTTTCTTTCTTTCTTTTTTGACACTAAAAAAAAAAAAAAGAAAATGTCTGAATAATTAATCGTTTGTCGTTGTTAAAAAAAATGTCGGAATTAAGTTTTATTAGTTATTATCATTATCATTTTCATTATTATCATTATCATTATTATTATTATTACGGTTAGTTAATTGATTTTTTTCATTAGTTATAAATTTATTAAACTCACGATCGAATTAAATATTTTCTCATAAAGTCGTTTACGATCAAATTGAAAAAAAGAAAACAAAAAAAAAAAAAAACGTGGCAATAGAATTCGAGTCCGCGACGTCACGATGCGATTCATTATTCAGAGATTTTGTTTTTTTATTTTTTTATTTTGTCGCATTTGATTTTGAAAAAAAAAAAGAAGAAGAAGAAGAAAAAAGATGGCATTTTGTTTATTAATTTTTTTACGATTCGTGGCAATAAAACAAAGATGGCGACACCATCAACAACCACGATAGAAATGATTGGAAAAACCGTTAAACGTTTTAAAAAATTTTCGTTTCGCGCCTTTTTTTTTTTTTTTTTTTTTTAAATCGTTTGTTGTTTCCGTCGGAAGTAGTAATAATAATGAAATGCCATCTTTTTTCTTCTTCCACTTTAAACTCCACTTCAAATTCGTTTTTTTTTCTAAAATTTTTTTCTTCCCGGGTGGGGTGGGGGTGTGTTATTATTATTATTACAGATGGAAAATATTTGGTTTTACCATCGGGTGAACTTCACATAAGGGACGTAGGACCGGAAGACGGTTACAAATCTTATCAGTGTCGTACAAAACACAGGCTGACAGGAGAAACGAGATTGAGCGCGACAAAAGGTCGTCTTGTTATCACAGGTAAGTCGCTTATTATTATTATTATTATTATTATTATCAATAACGATTTTCATTCGAAAAAAAGGCAAAATTTTTCGTCGAAACGATTCGATGCGGGTGACGATCCGACACCGTCACCATCATCGTAATCGTTATCATTATTATCGCCATCACCGTCGCCACCGTCACCATCATTCCCTTCATTATTATTATTATCATTCCCATAATCATCATTATTATTATCATTTAATTAATTTTAATTGAATTTACGGTTCAAAGGTTTTTGTAAATGCGCGAAAAAAAGGAAAATTAAATAATAATAATGATAATGATAATAATAAAGTTTTTAAGTTGAAAGTTTTTTTTTTTTTTTTTTTGTAACGGTCAAGGTTGTTGTTGTTGTTGGCATCCCTGCTTTACAATTTAATTTAATTAGATGCGTTAAGTTATTTAATTTAATTTTTTTTTTTTTGTTTAATTTGTTAATTTATTAAGACGCGCGCGTTTAACTTTATTATTATTATTTCTCACTTTGGAATAAAGAGGGAAAGAATGGGAAAGGAGGATCATTTCCGGTTTTTTTTAAATTTCGCTTTATTCGTTTCCGGTTTGTTTATTATTCGGGGAAAAAAATTTTTAAAAGTAAAACGAAAAATTTTGCCTTTAATTATCTAAATATATTTTTGGGATTATTTTTAATGATGATGATGATGATGATGATGATGATGATAATGATCGGAAGCGAGCGATTTTGTTCAGTAAAAAAAAAAAACGCGCGTTATTTTCATTTGTAAACGAAAGTGAAATTTAATTAGAATTAAAATTTTAAAATTGCGATATGAGAATTTAGTAATCAAAAGTTGGCAAACCTGATGGAATTTTTCGAAAAAATTACGCGCGTTTTTTTTTAAAATTAAAGCTCGGGATTGCATTTTATCATGAAAAGAGGGAAGGAAGGGGAAGGGAGGGGTGGAAATTTCGTATCCGCGACGTAATCGATAATTACGATGATGATAATAATTTAATTAATTATTTAATTAAGAATTTTTTAATATTGTTTTCTTTCTTCCCGCCCGCCATTTTGATTTTTTTTTTTTTAAAAAAAAAGGCGGGAAAAATTTATTCGTATAAGATAGTTTTTGACTTAATTTATTATTTTAAATTTTTTTTAAAAGTGGGATTAGTCACGATGGAATATATTATGCCCGACGGAAATGTCGTTGTTGTTGTCGTTCTTTTGTTAAGAAAGAAATAAAATATTTCTTCTGCTTTTCATCTTCGTCGCATTCTTTTTGTTTTTTTTTTTTATTGTTTTTGAGTCACGTGTTTCGATTTATTATCATCATCATCATCATCGTTATTTTTACGGGAAAAAAAAAAGAAAAAAAAAAAAAAATTCAACGAGAATGAGTTGAGAATTGTATCAATTATTATTATCATCGTGATTCATTTGCTTTTTTTTTTATTTTTTTGCGCATCGTGCCTTAAATTTTCAGGTACGTCATTCGGTAATGGCGCGGTTAAATGTTTAAAAATAATAATAATAATAAGAAAATTCTCAACTGATTCATTTCTACACGTGGTTTTCACGTTTCGCCATCGAATTTTTTTTTTTTTTTTAATTATTATCATTATTATTATTATTATTATCATCATTATCATCATCATCATTATTATTAATAATGTTAAATGACATCTTATTACACGGTGGAAAGTATATATCGCGTGTTTTTTTTTTTTTTTTAAACAATAGCTGAAGTTATTCAGTAATAATTTTTTTTTGTCGTGTCTCTAGAATTATTTAATTGGGAAACGACAATTTTTAAAAAATACTTGAAAACGTGAAGTAGTTTTTAGATACGGGGGAGGAGGAGGAGAGGGAGAAAGGGGGAAGGAACAAGGGGAGGAGAAAAGCTAACTCTAAAAAATAATAATAATAATTCGCTGTGTAAATAAAAAATGGCGGCGCTTTTTTTTTTTTTTTTTGGTTAGTTATTAGATGTCATTTAAATAGGTTTTAGTTTTTTTTTTTTTTAACTGCGTTTCAGGTTCGTTTTTTTTTTATTTCTTATCGAACGTTTGAAAGGAGAGAGAGAGAAAGAGAAAGAAGAAGAGAGAAAAAAACGAACCTGAAACGTAGAAATGCACGGAGCGGAGGAGAGAGAAAGGGAGAGAGAGAGAGAGAGAGAGAGAGAGAGAGAGAGAAAGGGAGAGAGAGAGAAAGAAAAAAAAATGAAAATTTATTTATTATTATTATTATTATTATTAATATTTTCATTTTTTTTCCTCCTCCATTTCCTTTTCCGCTCCGGTTTATATATATTTATATAGATTAGTTATTAAAATAAGTTAAAACATTTATTATTATTATTATTAAATGAATTAATAAAAAAAAAAGAAAATGGCGATCGATATTGTTATTATTAATTCATTTAATAAAAAATTTTAGTTTACGTACATTTTTTTTTTTTTTTTTTTTTTTGATTGCCTGAATGTTGGGATAGGGTACCCCTGAAGTTAGGGCACATTCCATTCGACCGGTTATCCATTTCCGGTTTTTTTTTTTTTTTTTTTTTATCATACAAAAATTTGTTGTGTATATGTACGCGTTCGCGAGCGCGCGAAAAAAAAAAAAAAAGAAAAAAAGTTGAATGACGTGTAAAAGGAAAGAAAAAATATCTCATGTCATCGTAATGTCCGACATTTTGTTTTGGTTTGTGCTTGTTAACGGACGACAGGACCCGTGGCCGGAATGAAACCTAAATTTCCATTGATTGAAAAGGATTATACCTTTGCACAAAGGTCGTCCGTTGCTTTGATATGCCCTGCTCAAGGATTCCCGGTGCCATCGTACAGGTAATGGTTTTTTTTTTCTCTCTCTCTCTTTCTCTCTCTCTCTCTCTTTATCTCTTTCCCGCGACCTCCTCGACCTGCCGCCTGCCTACCAGCCCCCCTTTCACTCTTATTTTGCGTTTGTTCCTCCATCGACCAACGACATCGTCTCCTCTTTTGTCTGCAGAGCCCGAGGCGAGCATTAAACCCAAATTTGGAAGTTCGGACGTTGGAAGAATCATTTTGTTCGGATTGAATTCTCCTGTGACCGTTTTGTGCCCGGCTCAGGGATTTCCTCTTCCGTCTTTCAGGTGAGATGACAAAAAAATAACCGCCCACCCACCCACCAACCCCCTCCGGGTCGCAAGGTAAGCCGTTTCTTTTTTCTTGTTTTTCCTCAGAACCCGTCGGAAGCACGAAACCGAAATTTCCAACCGTGGATAATAGTCGGGGTTTCGAAACTTCTCTGTCCATGGCTTTGACCTTGTTGTGTCCAGCACAAGGGTTTCCGGTTCCCAATTTCAGGTAAGTTTGTACATCTTTTCCTTTTTCCCGCGCCCCTCTCCCTCCCCCTTCCCCCCGTGTGCCTCATTCAGCGGTTCTCTATCTCTTCTACGTCCACGTCTTTCAATTTTTTTTTTTTTTTGTTTCCACGTATTTTTTTGACGATTCTCAGAACCGGTCGGAAGGATCAAACCTAGATTTCCTTCGATGATAGACGTTTTGGGTTTTCGGGGGATTTCCGATCAATCTCTCAACATTCTATGTCCCGCTCAAGGTTTTCCGGTTCCTTCTATGCGGTAAGGGAAAATTTTTTTATTAAGTTGGGATAATTTCGTTTAGGGGGTTGCCCTCATTTAATACCATCGTTATCATCATCATTTCCGTCGAGGGTAATTTTCTTTTTTTTTTTTTGTGTTTCTGTTCTGGAATTTTCTGCAGAACCCGTGGGAAGTACGAAACCTAAATTCCCAACTCTGTTGAACAGTTTGGGATTTATAAGCTACGAAATGAAAAGTTTGACTTTGTTATGTCCGGCTCAGGGGTTTCCCGTTCCATCTTTCCGGTAAGAAAAATTTAAATTGGAAGTATTATTATTATTATTAATCACGGGGATTTGTTCCTGGAAAATCTTTTTGAACAGAGCCAGTCGGGAGCACGAAACCGAAACTTCATAGTTTGGACATAATAAGAATAATAATCGAATCCCGTCGGGATTTCACGTTGATGTGCCCGGCTCAGGGTTTCCCAGTTCCAGTTTATCGGTAAGCTCATGCTTTATATTTTGTGTTTGTCTCCCTTTTGATAGAGCCCGTGGGAAGCACGAAACCTAAATTTCCGGATTTGGACATGGTGAGAAGTTTCGTCGGGCAAAGGGAGAGTTTTACCCTTCTATGTCCCGCTCAGGGGTTTCCCGTACCATCATTTAGGTGATGTAAAATTTTTTTTTTTTTTTTTATTAACTCTAGTAGTAGTAGCAAATGTGTAATGACGTCACTTACAGTACGTTAAACTTCCGGTTTGGTATATGATTTTTATAGAGCCCGTGGGAAGCACGAAACCGAAATTTCCGGATTCTGACATTGTTCAAATATCTTCGGAAAGGACGAAGGAAATCACATTATTATGTCCGGCGCAAGGTTTTCCGGTACCTTCTTTTAGGTGCGTTTTTCTTTTTTTCTTTTTCTTTTCTTATTGCGTTTCGCTTCGGGTGCCATCCCTTCCTGACCTTTGGGCAAGTCAACACAATTTGTGTATAAAAATGTTTCGTTTGTTTTCTTACAACCGGTTGTCCTTTCGCAGAAACTCTTGCGAGCACGATTCCGACGTTCGTGTCCGAAGTGAAAAGGGAAAAGAGAATTTTATTAAATAATTCCATTGCTTTGTTGTGTCCGGCACAGGGATTTCCGGTTCCAGCATTCAGGTAAAAAATGTTTTAATCGAACGATAAATCGAACGATCCATCGATCGATCGGTCGATCGTTTCGCATAAACATGGCGGAGAATTTCGTTTAATTTTTTACGCAGTTTTTTCTTTCTTTCCCCCTCCCCCTTTCGCCATTTATTTTGTTAAACATGAGTTTCATCATCATTATCATCATGAAACCTTTGGGTTATTTAACCGCCCACACACGCACATAATCAAAAGGCTCGTAAAAAAAAAAAAAAAGTTTGAGTCAATTAAGAAATAAACGGGAACGGTTTCGGTTCAATTCATAAATGCTTAATACGCTGTTATTATTATTATTATTGTATGCGTGTGCGTGTGCGTGCGTGCGTTTTAATACGTCAATTTAAGTCGCTGTTAAACAACGCGAAAAAAAAAAGAGAACGAATTTCTTCGCCATTGATGATTTTAAGAAAAAAAAAATTTTTTTTAAGAGCCTGTGGGAGGGACAAAGCCCACGTTCGGAGTCGAAGTCAAGAGAGATTTTCCGTTCGTTGAAAAAACATGGTTGAATTTGATGTGCCCGGCTCAGGGATTTCCGGTTCCCAATTATCGGTAAGAGAAAATGTTGTAAGGTTTAAACCTAATTTCCTTTTTTCATTCAAAAAATAATTCAGAACCGGTCGGAAGCATAAAACCTAAATTTCCAACGATGGACGATACGAGAGGTTTCAAAGGTGTTTCCGGGAAAAGCGTTACGTTTCTTTGTCCCTCGCAAGGATTTCCGGTTCCGAGTTTCCGGTAAGATGATTATTCTTTTCACACTCTCGCACGCACGCACGCGAACTCTTCCCGGAGAAATGAGGGGGGAGGCAGGAAAAACTGCGAATTAAACGAGATTTTGTTTTTTTTTTCGTTGCGTTTGTTTTCGTCGACAATATGGCCGCCGTGACGTCATATCATTTTTAAAATTGTAATTTTTTTTTCTTTGTCGTTGCGTTTGTTTGTTTTACGGTCAAGAACCTGTCGGTAGCACAAAACCCAAATTCAATTCAATAATTAAATTACTTGCCGTGGACGTACAAGTCGGGGAAATTTCGACAATGTTGTGTCCGGCTCAGGGGTTTCCACATCCCACATACAGGTAAGAAAGATGAACAGGGAAATTTTTTTTTTTTCTTCTGGGTACACGTCAGAACCTGTCGGAAGTGCGTCGCCGAAATTATCAACGTTGGCAACCCTTGATTACATTCGGGGTTTTGCCGCGAAGGAAAATTTAATGTTTTCGCTTTTGTGCCCAGCTCAGGGATTTCCCGTTCCGAATTTCAGGTTGGAGTTTTTCTTTCTTTCTTTCTTTCTCTTTCTAGAACCCGTTGGAACGAAAGCTCCGACATTTTCCGTCGCTTCTAAAAGTTTTTCTTTCGTGCAAAATCTCGAAACTAATTTTAGTCTGTTGTGTCAAGCGCAGGGTTTTCCCGTACCGAGTTTCAGGTGAGTGTTTTGATTTCGTTTGCGGTCGCTTCGTGCAGATTATCACAACCGGAAATGGTAAGTAACGGACGTTCGAACGTGCAAAGTGTAGTAGCTTCCGGAAAATTTTTTTTTTTTTTTTTTGATTCGAATCGATCTCAAACCTTATCTCATTCATTCCGGCTTTCAAACACCGACTCGTATTATTATTATTATTATTATTATTATTATTATCATTATTGTCATTTTTTCTTTGGTTTGATTTAAACGTTTAGAACCGGTTGGACTTAAAGGACCCAAATTGTCTTCGGATGCTTACAGTTCTTCGTTTATAAGAGGTTACGGTCAGAGTTTTGGTCTCCTGTGTCAAGCTCAGGGATTTCCCGTTCCCAACTACAGGTAAATTTCATTTTAGCGAAATCCCGTCGGTCCCGTCGGAATCTCTCTCTCTAGCTCGCTCTCTCCCCCTTCCCCTCCACTCTCTCTATTCCACAGTTCAGGTTTCCGTCGGGGATCTTTGAATAAAAAAAATTTTCTTCTTGTTGTTGTTTTCGTGACAGAACCGGTCGGAACGAAAGCTCCGATTTTTTCAACGGATAACAAAATAAGTTCGTTCGTGCGAAATTTCGGACAAAGTTTCACGTTAATGTGCTCGGCTCAGGGATTTCCCGTACCTAATTTCAGGTGAGTCGTTTTCTCTCTCTCTATTTATCCGGGGGCCGAAATGTACGCGATGATAATTTTACAGAGCCGGTGACGAACATTCCGCCGAAGCAAGCGGGTCGTAAATTCGACGGAAGTTTGATAAACGAAATAACACAAGGAACGACAGCTGTGTCCGTGTGCGAAGTCACCGGGTTTCCGGTTCCTTCGTTCAGGTGAGTTCTCTCCACTTCCTCCCCACTTTGCCCCCGACTCCGGAGGTACCCATCTCGGCATTCGTAAGGTTTCCGTAAGTTTTTCGCGAAAAAAAAAAAAAAAAAACAAATTTGTTTTATTTCCGGTTGATTTTTCAGAGCCGACAAATAGCGTTCCGCCCAAAATTCACGATGGTAGGTATCAAGAAAAATCAGTCACGGTCGGATTTGACGGAGCGATGCTATGCTCCAGTCAGGCGTATCCCGTACCTACATTCAAGTAAGTGAGTTTTAAATTATACGTCCAAAATTATTATCATTATTATTAATATTGTAATTCGTACGAATAAATGGAGGAGGAGGAGGAGGCGGCGGGTGAATAAATGGGAGAAACGAACGTAATTTATCGTACATATAATTTTATCCATTTATTATTATTATTATTATTGTTAGGATCGAACGTGTAATTAGACTTTTTTTATATAAAGTATTTTTTTCCTAATAGGGTCGGTGGTCGCGAAGTTTTTTTTTTTTTTTAAAAAATTACGGTTAGATTATTCGCAACGGAAAAGTTTAGTTTTCAATTCATTCATTCATTCATTCATTCATTCATTCACGCATTCGAGGGAGTAGGTTTTGGGAGAATTTAATAAGGCAGAGAGGAGGGGAGGGGGGCAGGGGTAAAGAGGGAAATCGAACGAATACCCGAAATTTTTTTTTTTTTTTTACGTTTCGATAATTTTTTTTTTTTGTTGTTGTTGTCGAATTTCAGGTGGTACAAATTCGTGGATGGAACGTCTAGGAAACAGGCGGTGACGTTGAACGACAGAATCAAACAAGTGAGCGGAACGTTGATAATAAAGGAAGCCAAAGTCGAAGACAGCGGAAAATATCTTTGCGTCGTGAATAATTCCGTGGGAGGAGAAAGCGTGGAAACGGTTTTGACGGTGACGGCACCTTTGTCGGCGACCATAGAACCCACGACTCAAACTGTCGATTTCGGACGTCCCGCAAGTTTTTCGTGCAATTTCAAAGGGAATCCGGTGAAAACCGTGAGCTGGCTCAAAGATGGAAAATCCATCGATCACGAGGAACCCGTTTTGAGAATCGAATCCGTTAAGAAAGACGATCGAGGAATGTATCAGTGCTTCGTTCGTAACGATCAAGAGTCGGCACAGGCATCGGCGGAACTTAAATTGGGCGGAAGATGTGAGTAGTAATCATTTTTTTTTTGCGATTGGCACCACTGACGGTTGGTCTGTCGGTGGTCGGAAAGAAAAATTATTATCGGTTTATTATTATTGTGGGTCGCTAAATTATTTAAGTGACCGAAGAGGAGGAGGAGTTGGAGCAATTGCCATTTCCTCCTTCGATCGATCAATCAATTATTATTATTATCATCGCGTCCGTCATTTTTAAATTGTTGACGTCATCAAAAGGCGGACGAGAAAGAAAAATTAAAATTTTCGTTTTGTTGTCTTTTCACAGTCGAACCTCCTCAGATAAGGCACGCATTCGACGAAGAAATCATACAACCCGGAACTCCGGTGTTTTTGAAATGTATCGCTTCCGGTAATCCGACACCGGAAATCGCATGGGAACTCGATGGGAAAAAATTATCAAACAACGACAGGTTGGTAGCGATGACGAAATGCAAATCGAACAGTTCGCATGTTTGTCGCTTTGTTTTTGGGGTGGAAGTTATAATTTAATACGGTTCGATTTTCAGGTTGCACGTGGGTCAATACGTGACGGTGAACGGAGACGTCGTGTCTCATTTGAACATATCGTCCATTCACACGAACGACGGAGGTTTGTACAAATGCGTGGCATGGTCGAAAGTCGGAACCGTCGAACATTCCAACAAGTTGAACGTGTACGGAGCACCCTTCGTCAAACCCATGGAAAAGAAAGCCATCGTCGCTGGAGAAATGCTCGTCGTGACTTGTCCCGTCGCTGGATATCCCATCGATAGCATAGTGTGGGAACGAGGTGATCATTTTTTCCTTTTCTTTTGATTTGCTGTCGTGTTCCATTCGCATCGTAATTCACTCTTAACGGTTTTTTTCTTTGTTCTCTCTCTCTCTCTCTCTCTCTCTCGGAAGACGGAAGAGTTTTACCCATCAACAGAAAGCAAAAAGTTTTTTCAAACGGAACACTCATCATTGAAAACGTGGAAAGGCAAAGCGATCAAGCGACGTACACGTGCGTGGCTAAAAATCCACAGGGACTCACGTCGAGGGAAAAATTAGAAGTTCAAGTCATGGGTAGGTGTCCAAATTATTATTATTATCATCATCATCGCGACGTCGAATGGGGTGTCGCAGGATCGAAATAAAAAGGAAACGCGGAGGAGGGAGGGAGGGAGGGTGGGCGGTTCAAAGGTTATCGAGGGAGGGGTCAAAGTATTTCCGAGAGGAAATGATTACCGTCGGTAAAAATGGTAATTACTGATCGTGTTCGATTCCGGTTCAAACTTTTTTTAATAAACAAGGGGAAAGGAGAAAGGGGGGGGAGGGAGAAGTGAGGAAAAATGAAATAATAATGATAATAATTTTTTTTGGACTTTTAGGGAAAAGACGGGAATGAAACGGGCCGGAATCGAATCACCGACGCGATTTTTTTTTTTTTTTTGATTTTTTGACGAAATTTAATTTGATTTAATATTTTCAGGTTGTTGTTGTTGTTGTTGTTTGTGTTTGTTTTAAAAAAAAAAAAACAAATTGGTAAGATGACGTCATTTTAATATTATTATTAATAATTTTTTTTGTAGCCGATCACGTGGTCACAAATCCAGTGAAATTAAAAAATTTGACTGGAACGCCGCACCACTTATTATTAACGAGTTTTTATTTTGTCGTGGCAGGAGGTTTTTTTTCCCCCCCGTTTGTTGTTACGTTTGTTTGTTCGGAGTCGAGATCGTTTGGAAAATCTTCGTTGTTGTTGTTGTTTTTTTTTACGTAATTTTATTTAGCATAACGTTAACGTTTTTTGTCGTTAGTTCCGCCGCAAATTTCGCCTTTTACTTTTGGAGATGCTCCATCGGATGCTGGAAATTTGGTTGTCGTTCAATGCGCCGTCATCAAAGGAGATTCACCGATTGTCATCTCGTGGGATTTCAACGGGGAATCCCTTAACGGTGATAATTTGGGGATCGAAGTAAACGTATTGAATAAGAGAGTTAGTTCTTTGACGATCGAATCCGTGACCGCGAAAAATGCCGGAAATTATACTTGCAATGCGAAAAATTCCGCCGGAACGTTTAGTTACACGTCACAACTTGTCGTCAACGGTAAACTCCGATCGTCACTTTTGTGACCTTAACAACTTTTTTTTGTTTGTTGTTGTTGTTTTATTCCTTTTGATGAAACCCCATCATCATGGTTTCCTTCTTCCTTTTTCTTCTCTGTCTCTCTCGTTCTCGTTTCTCGTTCGGGTTTCCGGTTTTCTCTTTGACTGACTGACTCTCCGTCGTGGCTTTTCTTTTTTCTACTTAGCCTATGTGCAAAATGTTTTTTTTTATGTTTTAACTTTCGCAGTTTTACCTCACATCGTGCCCTTTTACGCGGAAAACGATTTGAACACGGGCGAAAGCGTTCAGTGGAATTGTCACGTGATGAAAGGTGACACTCCCGTGAGAATAGAATGGAGTTTTAACGGGTTCCCGATAACGTCAAAAATGGGGGTGACGACGACGAAAATAAGCGAAAGATCGAATCTTTTGATAATATCCAGCGTCGGAGATACTCACAGCGGAAATTTCACGTGTACGGCAACGAACGCGGCTGGAACTTCGAATTACACCGTTCAGCTCCACGTCAACGGTATCTATTTACACGTCACGAAACATTTTTCGAATAGTTGTCACCGTCGCTGTTGTTGTTCTTTTATTTTCTTTATTTTTTTATTTTTTTTTCTCTCTCTCACACATCCGACGAACCTTTTAAAAATTTTTCCAATGATCACACATCCGGTTTGAGATGCGTCACGTTTGACGTGATTTGTCGCGAAGGGAACGGTCGTCATCGTCGTCGTTTTAAGTTTTTTTTTTTTTTACATTAAAATTTAAAATTTTTAGCTTTGCCGCACATAACTCACTTCGAGGGTGACGACAACAATAATTTTGGAGATAGCGTGCAATTGAATTGTCACGTTTCGAAGGGTGATCTCCCCGTGACGATCACGTGGATTTTTAACGGTAATAATATTTTGACGTCGAGATTGGGATTGTTCATACAGAAAATCGGTAGCCGAACGAGTTTGTTGACGATATCGAACGTTATGGAAGAGCACAGCGGAAATTACACTTGTAACGCCGTGAACGCAGCCGGATCCGTTAATCACACCGCGACGATCAACGTCAAGGGTATCTACCTTTCCATCGTTAATGTCGGGTCACTTTTTTTTTTTCTTTACATAATTATTTCTTTATTTTGTTTGTTTGTTTTTGTTTATTCCCCTCCCCTGACCCTTCGGCCCCCCCCTCCCCCGAAAATATCATCCTTAACTATTTTAATACGGAGTCCGATTCAAACCGATTCGGAATGTCTCGAAAAAAAAATTGTTTTTCTAATGCCACGACGTTTTTTTTTTTCTGATCGTTGTCTTCAATTGTTTTTCTCGCGTTGTTTCCTTACATGGTGCGCCATTCGAAGGTTAAAAATTTGTGCGTGCGTGTGTGTGTCCTCGTCGCACGTATCGTAAAACATTTTTTTTTTGGATCGATACCGTTTCCGTTTCCGTTTCCTCCGAGCGCACACGAAAAAATTGAAACGATTGTTGATTATTATTAGTAACTACGTTAGTTATTTTATTTCACAGTTTTGCCCCAGATACGACCTTTCGATTTCGGCGATGATCCGATAAATGCCGGAGAATTAGTTATAACGAATTGCGTGATAGCAAAAGGTGATCCTCCTTTGGATATAGTTTGGAAATATCCAACGACGATACCGTTCAAAAGTATCATAACGAACAAACCGTCGACGCGATTGAGCACTTTGACGATTCCCTCGGTGACTCCTCGTCACGCGGGTCCTTATACATGCATTGTACGGAATCGTGCTGGAGAAACACGTTACACGGCCGTCCTTCACGTAAACGGTAGTCACACACATGGTCCTGCGGTGTGTCACGCGTGTGCTTTTTTTTTTCTCTCTAACTTTGTTTGTTGTTGTTGTTGTTGCTGCTGCTGTCGCGTTGGGGAAAATAACAGCAAGGAGTGTGCACATAACCATTCGGTTGAACTAACGCAAAATTGCTTTTTATAATAACGGCTTTTTTTCTTTTTTTTTTTTTCATTGTATGATTGATTGATTGATTAGTTCCACCGAAAGTGTTGCCGTTTGCTTTCGGCGATAACGAATTCTATGCTGGACAATCTGCGACGTTGCAATGCACCGTGTCCTCGGGTGATCTTCCGCTATCGATTTCCTGGAAATTTGACGGGAAATTTGAAAATTCACGACCGGATTTTCTAACGTCGAACATAGGGAAACGGGTTTCTATACTGACGATAGATAGTTTGACGGAAGGACACGTCGGGAATTACACATGCACGGCTAGGAATACAGCTGGAGAATCCAGTTTCACGGCACCCATGCAGGTTAATGGTTGGTGAAAGGAAAACGCAAAAAAAAAATTTTTCTGTTGGTTCCGTTGCATCTTTGCCTTGCGTGTTGTGCGTTTGACTCTCTTTCACTTCCTGTTTCCTACACGCGTTCCTACTCTTTTTTTTGTAGTACTCCCTCAAATTTTACCGTTCGACTTTGGTAGCCGACCCATGTCATCGGGAGAAGCCGCTCAAGTTACGTGTTTGGTATCGTCCGGGGATCAACCCCTGACCATGTCTTGGAGTTTCGAGGGGCACGATATTTCCACATTGCCCGGGGTATCAGTGAGTCAGTTCGGTCGTAAGACAAGCGTTTTATTAATCGATCCCGTCGAAGCCGTTCACAAGGGTAACTACACTTGCACCGTTCGCAATCAAGCCGGAGTGTCTAACTTTACCGCCGTTTTGCGCATCAACGGTAATAATTGGTTGTCGTTGCGGAAATGAAAGTAGAAACTCGAAAATTTGTTTGTCGGCGGTTGTCACATCTTGTTGTTGTTCATCTTTTAGGTTTTTTTTTGTTTTCGACTTTTTTTTTGTTTTCGACATAATTTTTTTTGTTTTTTGTTTTTTCTTCCCCCTCCCCTCTTCTTCCTCCATCTTTCCTTTCTTAGTTTTACCGAAAATCATACCTTTTAATTTCGAAAATCCGATAAATTCCGGAGAAGCCGCTCAAGTTACTTGTTTGGTATCGTCCGGTGATCAACCCTTGACCATGTCTTGGAGTTTCGAGGGGCACGATATTTCCACATTGCCCGGGGTATCAGTGAGTCAGTTCGGTCGTAAGACAAGCACTTTGTTAATCGATCCAGTCGAAGCCATTCACAAGGGTAGCTACGTTTGTACCGTTCGCAATCAAGCCGGAGTATCTAATTTTACCGCCGTTTTGCGCATAAACGGTAAATGGGTATTTTAAAAAAAATGGATCGTTGTGGAAAACTTTTTTTTGCTGTTGCTGTTGGCTCCAGTTTTTATTATTATTATTATTATTATTATTTAATACTCTTTCACCTTTTTTTGTATACTCCTTTCGCAGTTTTACCGAAAATCATTCCGTTTTATTTTGATAATCCGATGAATTCCGGAGAGGCCGCTCAGGTGACTTGTTTGGTATCGTCGGGCGATCAACCCCTAACAATGTCTTGGAGTTTCGAAAGTCAAGACATTTCGTCTCTTCCGGGTGTAACGGTTAGTCAACTGGGTCGTAAGACGAGCGTTTTGTTGATCGATCCTGTCGAAGCCGTTCACAAGGGTAACTACGTTTGCACCGTTCGGAATCAAGCCGGAGTATCTAACTTTACCGCCGTTTTACGAATCAACGGTAAATGAGACGAGTTCGGTAGAATGGGCGATGATTTTGTTTGTTGTTTGTTTGTTTGGGTAGTTCTTTTGTTAAAAAAACAAACGGCTGCGGTTTATTTCGTTATTATTATTATTATTTGTTTGTTTAATTTTTCCGCATTCTTTCACCGCTGTTTTTCTTTTCTTTTCTTTTTTTTTGTACTCCTCTCACAGTTCTACCAAAAATCATACCGTTTTATTTTGACAATCCGATGAATTCGGGTGAAGCCGCACAAGTTACTTGTTTGGTATCGTCGGGTGATCTTCCCTTGAACATAACATGGAGCTTCGGTGAGAAAGACATATCCGACATGAGAGGCATCACGACTTTAAAAGCCGGAAGAAAGGGGAGCATGCTATTGATAGATACCGTTTCCGCAATGCATAACGGGGATTACACGTGCACGGCTAGAAATTCGGCCGGATCGTCTAATTTTACCGCCTCGTTACGAATTAACGGTAATCACGATGCCGTTGGCGATGGTCAAAGCCATGACAAAAAAAAGTTGCTTGCATTGTATTCGTTCGGAATGATAATGAAAACAAAAAATGTCACACCGTCCTATCCTACTCCTATGCCCCCCTACCTTTTGTCAGGAATCCTTTCGGGTTTTTAAAAAAACTCTCCTTTATTCGTAGTTATGCCGAAAATCGTACCGTTTCATTTCGACGGTGCCATGTTTTCCGGTGAAGCCGCTCAAATAACGTGCATGGTATCCGCCGGTGACGAACCTTTGTACATATCATGGACGTTCGAGGGTAAAAATATAACGTCGTTGATGGGAGTCACGACGACAAAAATCGGTAGGAAAGGAAGTTCATTGATGATAGATCCCATATCGGCGGATCATAGAGGAAACTACACGTGCACGGTACGAAATCCGACGGGTACTTCCAATTTCACGGCTAGCCTAGACATCAACGGTAAACAAAAAAAAAAAAATTTCGGGGAATTAGAAAAATGTCGATTTTGTTTTTCTTGTTTTTCTTGTTTTTTTGTTTTATTTTGACACAATCGAACCGATTTTCCGAATGAATTTTCTCCATGTTTTTCAAAAAAAAAAATCCTCTTTCGTCTATCGTTCGCGGATGACGTGTGTGTCACGTGACGTGACGTGGTTTATAAAATCGCTCGTTATAACACCGGTTGCGTGTCGTCATTTGTTCGTTTTGATTCTTATAAATTTCATTTCCTACGCAGTTTTGCCCAAGATAACGTCGTTCGATTTCGGAGAAGATGCCATATTCTCGGGACAAAGTGCGCAAGCCTCTTGTTTCGTTTCCGAAGGAACGGAACCCGTTAGAATAACGTGGAATTTTCAAGGGAAACAAATCACGTCGGATAATAAAGACGTGACAGTGACGAGGGTCGGTAAAAAGGCTAGCATATTGGTGATAGATCCGGCTCGATCTCATCATCGCGGGAATTACACATGTTCAGCGAGGAACGATGCCGGAACGTCAAATTACACGGCTGTGCTCAACATCAACGGTACACACCTCAGTTATATCAGCCACCGATGATACCTAACCTTTTTTGTTTTTTAATTTCCTCAGTTCTTCCAAAGATCGCTCCGTTTTCGTTCGGCGAGACTCCTATATTTTTCGGACAGGGTGCTCAGCTGACTTGTTACGTGACCGAAGGTGATTTCCCCGTCGAAATATATTGGAGTTTTAACGGTGGTAATATATCGTCCGTGCCCGGAGTTTCCACGAATCAGTTAATGAAAAAAACTAGTTTGTTAACTATCGAACCCGCCACGTCGGATCATAGCGGAAATTATACATGTCACGCGAAGAATCGAGCTGGAATGACGAGTCACACGACTTCTTTAGCCATCAACGGTTTGATTCCATGTTTCCAAAAATAAATTATGCTCGAAGTTGTTCGATTTGATCCTTTTCCGACCCGTAATCTCCTCCTCCCCCCCACCCATCATCATAATTCTTTTGTTGTTGTTGTTGTTGTGAACGATCTCTCTGATTCCAGCTAAACCGGAAATCGAACCTTTTACATTCAATAAAAACGGTGTGAACGGTGGATCTTCGATTCGAGTACTGTGTACGGTTTTAACCGGAGATCAACCCCTCGATATAAAATGGCTTAAAAACGGAGAACCCATGTCCGAGTATAGGAGGAAAACTCAGAAGCTTGACGAGAATACCGTTATATTGTCATTGAGAAATTTGCAAGTGGAAGATTCTGGAAATTATACTTGTTTAGCCGAAAATTCCGCCGGGATAGCAACCCATAGCAGCGTACTCAGAGTCAAGGGTATCATCCTATTAGTAGTTTTTCTTTTTTCTTTTCTTTTTTGTTCAGTCGTTATATGATTTGTTTATCATTATCATTATTATTATTTGTATCATTCCTTGTGTTATGGCATCTGAACGTTCGATTACAATTAAGGTTTGTCGTGAACCGTTTTTTAGCGTTCGTTTCCGCTTTTTTTTCGGGGGGGGGGGAGGTTGGCTGAGCTGTGAATTGTACGGTCGGGCCTCTACTTTGAAACGAGATATCGGTATACCAAAAGATGTTTTTCTTCTTCTTCTTCTTCTTGTATTTTCGCGCGTGGAAAAGCTATCCGTAGTAGTTGCGAAGAACAATATTCTGTCGGAGAGGGAGGGGGGAGGAGGGCGCGCGGGCTCTCTCGTTAGGAAATGCACAGTTAAAAAATGATCCTTAAACGTTCCTTTAACCACGCACCCCCGTTAACTGTGCAAAAGGTTTTTTCCTTCTTTTCCTTTCCTTACCCCCCCCCCCCCCCGTTTATTACCCAAGTCGAACCTTTTTTGTTTTTTGTTTTTTTTACGTTTTATTTGTTTATTATTATTATTTTTTCGTTTTTGCTTCTGCTTTCGCACTAATTGCACTGCATGAGAGTTAGTCGCCTGCTTTTTTTTAATTTTTTTTAATTTTATCCATTGATTGATTGATTGATTGATTGATTGGGTTTTTGTTTAAACTTTTTTTTTTTTTTTTTACGTAGTTAATTCAGCTTTGAATTATGCACTATTAATAAAATGCACGAATTACTAATAATAATAATTGAAAGGAGTAGTGGTAGTAGTGGGGTAGGCTATAAAACTCATTAAATTTCAGCAACAAAAGATTTTGGCAGTCGATAATCAATAATAATAATAATAATAATAATGATATTAAATTCTCACGAACGTGATTTTAGCAAACGTTAAACGTTTTAAAAAAAAGAAAAAAAAAAAAATTTGCTTTACATACGATAGTTAGTGACACGTTCAAATTTCTAACAATTGCTGCCCGCCATTCTCTTGCTGAAATTTGGTGAGTCGTTGAAAAAAAAAAAAAAAAAAAAAAACTTGACGAAAGACAAAATAAAAAAAAGTTCGCACTTATGTGCGAAAAAACCGATCGAAATTATTATTATTATTATTATCGAATGACGTAATAATTTATTACAAAAAAAAAAAATGTCTTCCGTCGGGTTTTGACAAAAAAAAAAAAAAAAAAAAAATTTTTTTTGTTTCTTTTTCCGAAACTAATATTTTATTGTGTTTTTTTTTCTTGACTATAGTACCACCCAGATGGATATTGGAACCGACCGACAAAGCTTTCGCACAGGGAAGCGATGCTAAAATCGAATGTAAAGCAGACGGTTTTCCCAAACCTCAAGTCACGTGGAAACGAGCAGCCGGTAGATATGATTGTTTTATATGCATCCGTCGGACGAACGAACGAACGAACGAACGAATTGACACATTTTGAATTTCAGGTGACACACCCGGAAATTACATTGATCTCAAACCTAACAATCCGAACATGATAGTCGAAGATGGAACTCTGTCAATTTTGAACATTCAAAAATCAAACGAAGGATATTACATGTGCGAAGCCGTTAACGGAATCGGAAGCGGATTGTCCGCCGTCATATTGATAAGCGTTCAAGGTACCTGTTTTCCCCCATCCCCTCATCCCCCCCGGTGAAAAGGTAAAATATACGAATATGAAAAAATTTTTTTTTCAGCTCCCCCGCATTTTGACATCAAATTAAGGAATCAAACGTCGAGAAGAGGAGAACCGACGGTTTTACAATGCGAAGCCAAAGGTGAAAAACCCATCGGAATAATATGGAACATGAACAAAAAGAGACTCGATCCCAAAAGCGACAGCAGGTACACTATAAGAGAAGAAATTTTAGCGAACGGCGTACTATCCGACCTGAGCATCAAAAGAACGGAACGAACGGATTCTGCACTATTCACGTGCGTCGCCACCAATTCCTTCGGTTCGGATGAAACGACGATAAACATGATTGTTCAAGGTGAGTTTGTTTAGTCGTTTGTTTTTAAATGCCGATCGTTTGTTTGTTCTCTTTCGTTACAGAGGTTGCCGAAGTACCCTACGGATTGAAAATATTAGACAAATCAGGAAGATCCGTTCAATTGTCTTGGGCAGCACCGTACGATGGTAATTCTCCGATCAAAAGATACATAATCGAATACAAAGTGAGTTCACGCAACCAACCGAAACAACCAAACAAACGAAATGATCAAAATAATTTCCTATTTTTTTTTTTTTTAAAGATCTCTAAGGGAACTTGGGAAGCGGATATTGATCGAGTTTTGGTACCCGGAAATCAAAACGAAGCGGAAGTTTTTAATTTGAGACCTGCTACGACTTATAATTTACGTATCGTTGCGGAAAACGAAATCGGTTCGTCTAATCCGTCGGATGTTGTCACCATCATCACGGCCGAAGAAGGTTCGTGTCGTTCTTTGACGACGACGACGACGACGATGACGACGACATGACAGTAAAAATTTTTGTTTGTTGTTTTTTAGCTCCCAGTGGTCCGGCCACGGGTGTCAGAGTCGAAGCTCCCGATCAGCACACGCTTAAAGTATTTTGGAAACCGCCGGAGAAAGAATTTTGGAACGGTGAAATTTTAGGTTATTACGTCGGTTACAAATTGGCATCCTCGGAAAAACCATACCTATTCGAAACCGTGGAATTTAGCAAGGAAGAAGGAAAAGAACATCATTTGCAAATCACGAATTTGAAGTGAGAAACAAACAATTTTAACTTTTAGTTAAAGAAAGAGAGAGAGAGAGAAAAAATTTTCCCCTTCTTGCAGAACATACACGCAATATGGAGTCGTCGTTCAAGCTTTTAACAAAGTCGGACCTGGACCCATGAGCGAAGAAATCAGGCAGCACACGGCCGAGGGCGTACCTGAAGCTCCGCCTCACGACACGACCTGTACGACTCTAACGTCGCAAACGATTCGATTGTCTTGGATTTCCCCGCCTCTATCGAGCGCAAACGGAATCATAAAAGGTTATAAGGTCATTTACGGACCCAGCGAAACTTGGTACGGTGAGTACAACCCGAAAACTTTTGTCGGCGGCGGCGGCGGTGTGAGGGGTCCGAAGGGAAAAATTCGTGTTTAAAAAAACAAAAAAATGTTTTTCCAGACGAAAACACTAAAGACACGAAAATAACGTCATCCTCGGAAACGATACTTCACGGATTGAAAAAATTCACCAACTACAGCATGCAAGTATTGGCATACACTTCCGGTGGAGATGGAGTCCGTTCTTCTCCGATTCATTGTCAAACGGAACAAGACGGTATGATTGTGTGATTTCCGGTTTGTTTCTTTTACCTTTTTCCTTTTTCTATAATGCTTCTAATGTCATCAGCTCCGGAAGCTCCATCTGCCGTCAAAGCTTTGGTCATGTCCGCGGAATCGATTTTGGTGAGCTGGAAACCGCCAGAGCAACCCAACGGAATCGTGAATCAATACACCGTTTACATAAGAGAGGATAATGATAATTCGAAAGACGTAGGGTCGCTTTTTTTATTTCAACGGTTGAAAATAATAATGATAATAATAATTCGAGATAATTTAAAGGGAATTTTCTTCTCGTTTCGCAGGAACCCAGGAGTCAAAAAGTTCCACCCTTTCAAATGAGTTACGAAGCTTCCGGATTGGATAAAAAAAAAAAATACGAATTTTGGGTCACGGCATCTACGAACATTGGAGAAGGACAACCGTCGAAAAGCGTGACGTTATCACCCGGAAGCAGAGGTCACTCACTCACTCAATCCCTTTTTGAAATTTTCCAGACGGGAGAAAAGAATTTTCCTTAATAAAAATTTTCTTTTTTTTTCTTTACAGTTCCAGCGAAAATCGCTTCGTTCGATGATTCGTTCACTGCCACCTATCGGGAAGATGTTAAATTACCGTGTTTGGCCGTCGGAATTCCAGCACCGGAAATCGTTTGGAAAGTTAAAGGAAGTACTCTCACCGGAAACGATCGGCTAAGACAATTACCGGAAGGAAGTTTACTCATAAAAGAAGTGACGAGGAGCGACGCAGGAGAATATTCTTGCTACGTCGAAAATTCTTTCGGACGTGACACCGTCACTCATCATTTGCTCATATTGGGTAAGTCAGGTGTCGACGGTCGACATGTCGTCGGGTCTCGAACTCGTTGACACTTTTCCGTTTTTTTTTTTTTCCTTTTTAGCTCCTCCGCGGTCGCCCCAAGTTTCTCTCACGTCAACGACGACAAATTCGATCACTTTGAAACTCGCTCCTCATCCGACGGAATCCGTTCCTCTTCACGGATACACTATCCATTACAAACCGGAATTCGGAGAATGGGAAACCCTTCAAGTCGCGAGTCAAGCTCAAAAATACACTCTGGAAAATTTATGGTGCGGTTCGAGATATCAAATCTACGTGACCGGATACAACGGGTAAGAAACTTTCCACTCCGCAAAAAGAAAAATTCTTGAAATTTTAACGTCACGTCACGTCACGTTTTTAGAATCGGAACAGGTGATCCGAGCGACATATTGAACATAAAAACGAGAGGTTCGAAACCCGTCATACCGGAAGCGAGAAAATTCATCGAAGTATCCACGAACAGCATAACGCTTCATCTGTCCGCATGGTCTGATGCCGGTTGTCCAATGCTTTATTTCGTCATTGAACATAAGAAAAGGTAAGATAAGGTTCGGTGTGTGTGTGTGTGTGTGTGGGTGTGTGCGTGCGTGCGTTGGAAACGTTAACGCGTGCGTTGACTCGTTTTTCGTAGGAATCAAATCGAATGGAATCAAGTGTCGAACAACGTGAAACCCGGTGGAAATTTCGTCGTGCTCGATTTGGATCCCGCGAATTGGTATCAGCTCAGAGTGACGGCACACAATAACGCGGGATTTTCCGTCGCCGAATACAAATTTGCCACCCTCACGGTCACCGGAGGTGAGTACGAGAAAAGAAAATTAATCGTGACGTCATAAAATCATTATTATTATTATTTTTTATTCATTTATCATTACCATTATCATTATTATTTTTTTTTTCATTTCATTCATTCATTCATTCATTCATTCATTTTACGTCATTATGCATGCTTTGCTTGATGATGGACCTTAAGGAGACCATCTTTTTTTTTTTAATGATGATTATGATGATGATGATGATGATGATGATGATGGTAACGATGAATGAAACTTTGTTTTGGTTTTTCGAGAAACTTCTATGCTACTCTTTTCTTTCGCGTTCGTTCGTTCCTTTTTTCTCGTCTCCCCACGAAACGAAAATGAATTCCTGTAAATCGGTCAAGAGAGTAAAAAAAAGGCAAAATTTTGTTACTCATATTGATTTACAGGTACGATAGCGCCGGCAATCGATCAAACAGGAACCGGAGATTATAATTTGCAACTTCTAATATCGAATTTGAATTTAGTCGTACCCGTCGTGTCGTCGATTCTTGTCATCATCGTTGCCATAATCGTCATATGCGTACTACGTGGAAAGAACACGCAGAACAAAGGTTAGAAAAACGATTTGGTTTTTTTTTTTTTTCCAGGAACCATAGCCCCTCCCGAAAATGAAAATCCCATCGCAATGAACGAATTATTTCCCTGGCTTCCCGAATGGGCGAATTTGAACATCGTCGTGCCCATCGTGGCGACGATCGTCGTCATATTCGTCGGTTGCATAGTCATATGCGTTGCCGTGTCGAGAAAATCCAGAGGTCCGGAACAAACTCGCTTGAGAGGTATTTTTTCAAAAAAAAATCCGTGACGCCGACGGCGATGACGTCAACGATGACGTAGTCATTTAATAATAATAAAAACCGGAACCGGAAGTTGTGTTTTAATTTAACAAACAAAAACTATTTTTTATTTATTGATTTTTTTTTGTTTTGCGTGTGTGTGCGTGGCAGATGACGTCGTTTACAATCAACCAGGAATGGGATCATCGACTTTGGATAAAAGACGACCTGATCTTCGTGACGAACTCGGGTACATAGCGCCACCCAATCGTAAACTTCCACCCGTTCCAGGTTCGAATTACAACACGTGCGACAGAATCAAGCGAGGTACAGTTATAAGTAAGCAAAAAAAACAAAAAAAAAAAAAAAAAAGAAAAAAAAGTAGGCCATGTTTATTTACTTACCCCCCTACTTACCCACCCACCCCCCGATTAGAAAAAAATGGAAGCATGAACCACCCGCCCCCTCCCTCCGCCCCGCCCCGAATTGTTTTTCAATCTCTTTTAAAATTTTGTTTAAATTTTTTTATTTATTTTTTTTGCCTGTTGTTAAGCATAAGCACTTGTTTATTAATTCAGTCAGTCAATCATTCATTCAGTCATTCAATCATTCATTCAGTCGATATACGATTGGAACTTTTTTAATATTTTTTTTTTCAAATATGGCAGCGGAAGGTACACGAGAAAAAATTTTAAATACAAGACAATTTCATTCAATAATTAAAATCATTCATTCAATCATTCATTCATTCATTCATTCATTCAATCATGTTCGCTTGTTTTTTCTTAAAAGCCTGTTTATTATTATTATTATTATTATTTAAAAATGGAGATTTTATTTATTTTATTTTAATTTTTTTTCTTTGGTTTTGTTCGATTTTTTATTTATTTATTTTATTGTTTTTTTTTTTTTTTTTCGTTCACCCATTTTGTGTTGGCTATGTGTTCTCATTTGTATGATGAGTAGCTGGCTACCGAGGTGGAATAGGTGCTACATGGGATCCAAGGAGGCATTTATACGATGAGTTGGGACAAAATGGGTGTCCGACGAGGCGGTTGCCTCCTCATCCACACGGTGGCTCAGATGAAACCTTACACACCTGCAGAGGTTAGTTGCTTAAATACCTGGATTGCGCAATAGATATTTTCTCTCACAATCATTTTTGTTTGTTTGTTTGTTTGTTTGTTTTGTTTGTTCGACTAGCTTTAGTCGTAATGAAAAAAAATTTTTTTTTTTTTTTTTTTTTTTTTTACATTTTCACACGCGTTAGTTTGATAGAAAACAAAAAGGTTTGAAATTGAATATTTTTATTGTTTGTTGTTGTTGGCAGTACTGCTGATGACTTTTTTTTAAAAAAAGTAAATTCTCGTTTGTTTGTTTGTTCTTTTTTTCTCTCTCTCTCTCTTAGGCATGGAAGACGAAATATGTCCGTACGCGACTTTTCACTTATTGGGTTTCCGAGAAGAAAATATGGATCCGTCGAAGGCTGGAGTTAATTTTCAAACGTTTCCATCTCAAAACGGAAGTCACGCGGGTACTTTGGGTCATTCACACAACACGGGAACCATGCATCAAAGATCCGGTTCGCAATCCATGGTAATTTTTTTTTTTTTTTTTTTAATTAAATTTTCCGCCATTTTGAATTTGTGTGAGTTTATTATTAATTTTTCGTGAATAGCCACGTGGTACGCCGAGATATTCTAGAGTCGCCGGTCCGAATTCTGCATTTTCTCCGGAATATGACGATCCGGCTAATTGCGACGATCACGAGGATCCCTACGGTTCGCAATACGGTCCATATGGGGGCCCCTACGATCATTACGGAAGCAGAAACAGCGTCGGACGTCGGAGTCTCGGTGAGTGTTGTCCACACGTCGCGTGTTTCTCACGTTGGGTTGGCCATTGATTAATCTTTTTTTTGTTTTTCTTTTTCCTCCTTCCCCCTCCCTCCCCTCACTTTCTCCCCGTTCATCCACGTAAAGGTTCGATTCGAAACATACCGATCAATAACGGAAGTCCGGAACCTCCTCCACCGCCGCCTAGAAATCACGATCCGAACGATTCGAAAGATAGCAACGAAGTTTCCGAAGCCGAATGCGATCGCGATCAACTCTTAGGAAAACAAGGTAAATGAATGAATGATTGATTGATTGATTGATTGATTGATCACGTTTATTTAAAAAAAAAAACGACGAAAAAAATTTTTTTTGATTTTGTACGGTATTGATTATGATAAAAAAAAAAAAAAAATTTGAATGTGTGGTGATGATGATGATGATGATGATGTTAATGTCGTGGACGTGGTAGATAGATAGTTTCTGTCTCTGTTTACAGCCAACAGCAGGAGCGGATCAAAGGATGGAATGACGACGGAAGAAATGAGAAAATTGATCGAGAGGTCAGTCAATCCGTGATTTTTGTAAAAAATCATTCATTAATTTTTTTTACGAATTCACTTGTTGCCCCCGCCCCCGCTCAACATCCCCGCCCCCTCACTCCCCCGTAGGTAGGTGTGTGGGGCGTAGGTAGGGGGTGGGAAGACGCGTGAAATAATATCGATAATTTAAAATTTTTAGAAAAATTTCCCCCCCAAAACAAAACAAAAAAAAAATTCATTTAAAATTTTTATTAATTTAATTTTTTTTTTCTCTCTCTTTTTCTCTCTTTTTTTTTCACTCTCTCTCTCTCTCTCACTTTCTCATTCTCTCTTTCTCTTCTCTCTCTCTCTCTCTCACTGAATGGAATGCAGAAAACCGTAAGTTTCACTTTTTTTAAATAAATAAAAAAATAATTTTCTGTATTTAAAAAAAAAAATTAGTTGGTTCGTTCATTCATTCATTCACTCAATCATTCATTCATTCATTCGTTAATTCGTAGTAAGTATGGATTGGTTGTCGTTGTCGTTTGTTTGTTTTTTTTTTTTTTTTGTTCATTTCGCCATTCATCATCCATCTCACACCGTTTGCACGATTTTCTCATTTTGATTTCGCACGCAATAATCGAAATAGAAAATTTTATTCGTTATTATTATTATCATTATTATTATTATTATTATTATTATTATTATTATTATTATTATTATTATTATTATTATTATTATTAATAGCATGACGCGGCGGATTGATCGTCGGATAGTTTTAAAAAACTGATTATTATTATTATTTATCGATTAATTTTCACATTTTAAATATCATGTCATCTAGCTCGTGAGCATGAAGGAGCACGTTTTTGTTAATTAAAAACACGTTAATTATGAAGAGCACGTGCACGCACGCACAGATGACACCACGACACACGTGCGAATGAAAAAACGAATTCGGTTCGAATGTGAAAACACGAGTGCGTGTGGTGTCGGATTAATAATGCGTGTCGTCGTCTGTCAGTTTATCGCCAAAATCCGCCATTTTTTTTTTTTTTTTTTTTTGGTTTCAATCACACGAATGGGTAGAGTACATATAAAAAATGCACCCCCCCCCCCCCAAAAGAAAAGAAAAGGAAAA